GACAGAAGCTAACACTGGTGTAGCTTTCTCAGGTAAAGTTGAGCCACCATGACATACGGAGGTCCTGCTTTAGGCCTATTTTATGTCTTTATAAATGCTGCATACGGGTCTGCTGGTGCGTATCATTGAATGCTAAGAAGCACAGCACCGTGTAAAAGTCTTGAGCCAGCACTTCTTTATGTGTTGCTGCAGTGATAGATGCAGTAATTTATTGAAACATGCAAACATACATGGAAATACCGACAGCCGCCCTTCCACGAGACATTTCTGAGGAGGCCTCAGTCAGCAGTAGACGATCAGCTGAAGGTCCAGGTCATCTCTGATCTGTTGTAAATAAAAAGGAGAAGGAATTCTTGTTTTGTGCTCCATATGCCAAGTTTTCAGCTAATGTTTTCACCTTGTTGGTGCAAAAATACTATTTTATGTCAGATTTTGGCATTTTCATAGATTCTACTAAAGAACTGGAAACACCTGCTGGTAACAGGTGCTCAGTTGTGTGTCGACATAACACTGATTCATCCTTTGAGTTTGAAGCTATTTCTGCTTGAATGAGTCGTAGGTGGTTTAACAAACAGGAAACTGCACTGGAAACGAGTGAAGAAGCAGCCAGTGTCCAGAGAACAACTTAAAATACCTTCAGATAATCTGGAGAACTATTTCTCAGCCTGGCTCCTCGAGGCAAAATCTAAAGAAATGAGGCGTGGCTCAGCGCTGTATACGCTTGGCGTTCTGCTTCGTTTATTTCTCTGTTTGGAACAAGAGGCTCGGCCCTGCAGACGTTCCTGACGGGCAGAGCTGCTCTTTGTCATCACCGAGCCCGTTTCCTGCTCTGAATGTGACCTTCCTCTGGGCTCGTGTTTCTGATTCAGACCTCAGCGAGCGTGTCCTGCCAAGGCCGAGCCTCGTTCACTCAGAGCGTTTACTTAAATCTCACCGAGCTCAGAGCGGCGGGACTGCAGGTGGGAAACTCACCCTCGCCGTCCAAGAGCCAAAACCAGCAGCTCCCAGTCTGATTGGAGCTCTGATTGCTTGTTAGAGGAGAGCCGTCTGTGGTGAGCGGTTGAGACGTGATTAAAAAATTTATTTAAAAAAAAAAAATCTTGTGTCACTCGTGAGTTTTGTTTGGTTTACCGAGCGTCAGCTGATCAAAGCCTGACTCTGATCAGCTGACGTTGCTCCTCGCTCGCCGGATGTAAAGATGTCTGAGGAGCGCTGGTTCCTGCTCGTTTATGAACCTTTTTGTTTTTATTGCAAGTTCGAAAAAGATTTGCCTCACATGTGCAAATAAACTTAAAATAATTGTATCTGTTCTGCTTCATATGGTTAACCACACTGATCCATCTCAGTCGGTAAAAAGCTTCAAAACAGCTTCAAAACATCTCTTCAGCACTATGAGTGAAGTAAAGTCCCTCGTGCCTCTCGCTGATGTGATGCTGATTAAAGGACCGCTTATTGGTATGACGGGGCCTCAGCGGGGCCTCGACCCGGAGCTTGAGCCCCCGCTCTGACGGCTTTCTTGTTTGTTTGTTGTCGTTTGCAGTCGTGGAGGATCCTGCTGTTCGGGGTGCTCAACCTGCTGTGCACCGGCTGTCTGCTGATGTGGTGCAGCTCCACCAACAGCATGGGTGAGCACGCACACACACACACACACACACACACACACACACACACAGTCGCGGATGTTAACCGGCAGAGATACCTGTCGACACACCGTAAACACAGATTGACACACACACACAGGCAGGATCGTCTCGCCGCAGGGGGTCAGGCTGATCCTGATGCTGCTGTGTGCGTGTGTCTGAGGCGGCGGCGGCGGGGAGGTCACCTCAGTCAAAATATTGCACTTTAAAGGGCACGTTGAAGAAACAGAGTCCTTCACAGCGTCTGCTTTCGCCCTCCGGTGCTACAACACAGAGAACACATCTGTCATATTGACAGGCACGCTTTATTTTTCCCTCTCCAAACTTGGCGGCACAGCAGAGCCGTTCCACCTCGTAGCTCTGTGCTCGCCGTGTATGAAAGCGACTGGTTTAAATCAGTCTCACAGCTGACGGGAAGGAGACGTCTGCTCACAGGTTGGTGGATTCATAGATCAGTGGGAATGATGCCGAGGAGAGAAACTTCCCAAAGCCTGGAATATCGGTTGTCACAGCTTAAACTCGTGTGAGTGTTACAGGCTCAGGTTTGATTATTTAGTGTTTGTGCTGATGCTCCGTCTGCCTCCAGCAGGGTGAGGCGGCGTGTTTATGGTCAGCGAGGCCCGTGTATGCCCACCAACATTAAATCCTCTCAGGGATCCATCGCTCAGAAAAAC